TCACAGCAACCCTGTGTAAAGTTTCCGAGAGCAGTAGGTAGGTTTGAACTACTGACCTTCACAGCTAGCAGTCCAGTGTTTACCCTACAGCTCCATGCCAGGACCCATGGAGCACCCTAAGTTCACTGAAACTGAAATACAAGGGGTTTCAAAATGTTCATGAATAAAGTGGAATTAAGATAGTGGGAATTTCTCACAAACTGCTTGAATCTACCTTGTAGATTACATGTTGTTAAACGTCGTTCAGTCACTTGCAACTCAGGGACCCTGTAATGGGGTTTCTGAGATTAGCTGGTGGATTTGAACTGCCAATCTTCCGGTTCAAACCAACTTGTGATCCAGTGCTTATCCTACAGTAACACATAATTAAGGGAAATTTCAAACTGAATTATATGCATAACTGTTAAACAAAAGGAATAATCCTTTTATGAAGTCACAATTAACTTGTGATAGTGGTGCTAAAGGGGATGTGTGTAATTTCATCATTTTTAGGACTTTGAAAATTTAGGGTCCATATTTGAGTAACTCTCGAAGTTGCTGCCCAAGTTCCAGGGACTGACTTCTAAGGAAGCCACTGCCTTAATGAGGTCTGTCTCCTACATTCCTTACTAGACTCTAACTGGTACCATTATAGGAAGAAGAGACAGGAGAATGTGCTTTCACGGAACGGGACTGCTGACTGATGAAGTCGTCTTTGAAAAAAACCCAAAAAAACAAAGCAGCAATAGGATAAGAGTTTATAATTCCCTCTCAATCAAAAACCTAGAATGAACCTGGGGCACAGGCCCCTCTCAAGCGATTCACAGCCATCAAGGTTCCATCCACATGGCTTCCGGAACTAATACATGAATTTACTCTTTTAAGGTGAGAGGCACCTACCTACCTGTCTATAGCTTTTAGCTTTGTGCTGTCTTCGAAAACTTATGAACCATGTTTATAGTAAATTGTGGCAAGAGTTTGACAACAGGAAAGGCCTTCTCTACGGCTCCAAAAGCTGTGCTTTAGTTCTTGTGCCATCTAGTAGTTATGTGGCCTCACCAAATCTCTCTCCCACCACATAAGGCAGGGGCAATACCATTCCATTCTACTTCAAAATAATCATTACTAGCAAAAAAAAAATTATGTAAGGTGTGGCAGAATTACCCCAGATGAGGGAGAAAAATGGTGAGGGCTTGATCCTTTTGGTAATTCTAGTTGACGCAGAGTTCTGATGTTTTTCCCTTGTTAACCACCGCATTGCACTTCTCTGCCTGCCAAGTTCTGGTAATCTAATCAGTTCGTTGGTTGAAATTTTAATCAATCATTGTAAAATTACGAATTCTTAATTTAAATTATCTGGCGAAGCAAAGCAGACTGCATCTTATAAAAAGGGTGTAAGTAGCCATCTTGAGTTGTAAGGAAGAACAGTAATAGCAACTGACAGCACGTGGCATCAGCTTTGTGCTGGGCAGATTCCTACATGCTTCACCCGAGAGCTCATGTATTCATTCCCACCACCACTCTGCTCTCCCAACTTCAGACCAGGAAGCATAAAGACAGTAGTAAGTGCATGGCAGTCAACATTTGAACCCAATCAATCTAGCTCAAACCTGAGCTCTTGTTAACTATTGTATTTATCGGCCATCTTATGTGGTCATGGTATGCGGGTCATCCATATCCCTACTACATTAACAAGTGAGGATTCCCAGGCAGAAGCCATGCATTTTGGTCTAATTCAAAATTAGTTTTCTACTAAGTTCTTCTTCTGACTGTTGGTCAGTAATTTTTTTAGTTGGTTTATGCACACTCAATTTTTTTGCATTAAAAAAAAAAAAAAAAAAAAAAGAATTCCCGGGAGGGGAATAAAAATCCTCAAAAGCCATGGAGAAGAGGAGGAAAAGGAATGAAGGGGCACTTATTTACATTCTGAAATGGCTGCAGATTTCCTGAAACCCTGGTGCTAGAATTCTACTAATTCCATTTTAAAAATAGCTGTGATAACCAGTTATGGGGATTAGCAGTAAGACTGCCAGTGTAATTTTAAAGGTGCAATGAAGGTCGTCTTTGTCACACAGAAACAATGTAGCAAGCTAAATGGGCTGGCTCTCCAGTCTGTGTTACCACTAAAACATGGCTAATATAACATGATAGTAATCAACAAGATTGATTTAATAAGTAATGATCAACAGCAAAACAACACACAATATGCTCTTTAAATGTTTCTCCACCATTTTGGCTTCCTGAAATGAGGTATTTATATTAGAAAGTATTTGTTCACATTTTATATAGCACTTATAAATGGAAAGAGTTCTATTTTAGGAGGAGGGAATGGTGGTGGGTAAGGAAAAAATATTCTTCAATTTTTAGAAACCATCAAATACCCCTTCCCCCCTCACTCACTGACTTACAAATTAATTAGGATGGTTTCTATACCCATTTACTCTCAACGTGCACAAAAATCAACATTTCAAAAGGCTATGCAAGAGTGGTACACTTGATCGTGCATCACTGCTGAGTCTTCAAGACAAGACCCTGGCAGTTGTCTCAAGGACATAAAGACATGTTTTAATTCTGAGGACAGAATCATCAGGAGGTTAGACAACAATGGAAACCCCAAGAGAGATTAGAACCAGAGATTGCCAGAGTGATTTTGATATTCTGTTAATAATTACCAGCTTCCCATGTGAAGGTAACAGTAAATGATTCCACTTGGTTCAGTTAGCCATCTTGCCCCTGCTGGGTCACTGACCTATTATCCAAAATGTATCATATTTGTTCAGAAAAGCCTTAGGGAAGAGATAGTCTACTGATTGACTGATGCCCTAACACATCTGATTCTAAGACCCAGATCGAGGAAGCAGAGTCATATATGGCTTATTTCCCTCCTTTTCTTCATTTTGATACTAGCTATCACATTTATTTGTAAATAATATTGTAAAGCAGAGATCTATATCTGTACTACTTTTTCATCATGTTAGATTGATGTTTAACACTCAAGCCCACCAAAATTTAAAATAAACTAGACATTTTCTTTTAATTCATTACTTAACAGTTACTATATAAACAGAGTACTTTATGATTCAGAAAGAAGAAAACACAGACAAAATTTGAAAATATTGTGGGCAGTATCTAATATATTCAATCAATGCTAACATTTCATTACCATGTCAGTATTTTTTATAAGATTTCTAGCTTAAATTACAGAGCCACAGGTATAGCCCTTACGCCATTCCTGACAGTGCTATGTGTTACTTACCCAGGATTAGCCTCGATAATGGTTATTACGTTTACTTTAACAGCTTGAAACACTTTATACTTATCTTGAAGTACACTTAAAAAATTTATTCAGCTGATTCCTAAGTAAAGGAGACAAGTTAGTCAATATCCTAAGTCTCCAAAGCTCCCTTCAAATGTAATGTTTCATAGTCTTTAAATTTTAACTGTTGTTTATTACTGTTTTCGCTACATTCTCTACAATTTCAGCAGCATCTTAAAAAGACAATGTGTCTATGTACAATGAAAAAAAAACAAAATGGCTTGCAACATGAGAAATAAGAGCCACAGTTGAACTGTACAATATTAATGAGAGTCTGTGGTAAGTATAGCCTCCTTGTTCTGTAACATGGACAACTTACAATTCAGTATCAGCATTATGAATGTGACAATAAAGAAATAATCTACAGGAGTAAAGTAATAGTTTCTACCAAACAAGGCAATTAGAAAATGTTTCACATTTTAACAAATAGTACAAACCACAAGAAACTTGTTTATGGGACCATTCTCCCACCTCATTGATAGAAACAATTTATAAATCTAGTATTTATGAGCTCCATAGCCCTAGAGCCCAAGAAACGGATTTAAAGAACTCTATATACCCAACATGGATCATTTTTACGTGCCTTGATTGTTAATGGATGTCTGCTTTTAATCTCTGTATGACATACAGTCAACTTGCACCTTTCAAAGAGGTCATTCAGTTTTCTAGCAAAGAAGCAACATCATTTAGCAGCAATTAAAGCGCCTTCAAGAAGACTTAAAAAAAATACAATATCCAATTAGAAAAGCCATATTCTTTTTAAACATTTGTACAAGAATAAGCTGCTGAAACTTAGTAATTCAAATATGACATCTGTACAACAATTTACAGTAGAGCTAGAAGGGAATTTATCATTATCCTGCATAGAACTGGTCTGCATTTGGTTACATACTACCACCGTACTTTTTAATGAACATGGCCTGGTAACAAAAGAAAAATACCTGTTAAGAATTCTAATGTGTTGAAAACACTGGGAATATTGCAGTTTCGCGAATTCAATTGACTTCCAAACAAGCAGCTCATTTTGTTACAGGAATAAGTTATCTAGGAACAACAGCTCTCCTTTTAATATACCCAGTGAGAAAAACGGACATGTGATTTCGAGGTACAACTTGGTAAAAAGCCCGAATAGGCGATGACAAAGTTAACTTTGTCCAAAGGTTTGAATGCTCACCACCTTCCATTACTACAAAACAACTGTCATTGTCTCTCCATTCTTACTTTGGTTTCAGCAACAGCTGAATGCTGAAGAATGTATCCAGGCACTGTAGTTTTATGTCTTAGAAATATGTCTCACTTTTTCCCCATGTTTTTTTTTTTTTTTTAAATAATGAAAAACTACCCTTCACATCAGAACTCTCCAGCAACAACCAAATGTATTTAAGCATTATAAACGGTATTTACAATGTTCCCTCAAACAAACAAAAGACCAGTTTTCTTCTCTCTGAACACGCCACTTGTGCTTGTGTGCAACGGGCAGTTATCTTTCACTGCTCGGGTGACCGCCAGAGGCCACATTTATTCACTGTCCATGATCCACGTTCATAAAGGATGCTATGAAGAACTTTAGCTTACTAACAGTTCTCAACCATGTCCTGTGTAAAAAGAAACAAAACAAAACAAAACAAAAAACACTCAAATGCTTTCAAACTTAAGTGTACATCTGGAAACAATTCAAAGGTATCATGCCAATCTTGGAGCAAAGTCAGTAAGAAATTATGCTTGAAGAAGGGGGTGTAGGGGATGCTGCCAGCCCAGTCATGTGTAAGTTTCCTGAAGAATTTGATCTTCTCATGTGAGGGAGAAGATATGGGTCATTTGCCAGTTGGTGCACATCAAATCGATCTTCTTTCCGGTATGCCAAACAGCGTCTTATAAAGGCCTTAAAACAAAAAAGTCAGCAATTAAAATAATCCCTTTCCCTTCTAAACATCAATCAACTCAATCTTACGGGAGGACACACAAGACAACAAATATATCTCATTTTACTGGAAGTGTAAGCATTAAAGAATAATTAATAATAAAAATTATTACTCCAAATCTCTCCAACTCTCACCTCAGAGCCCCTAGTGGCTCAGTTTATAGTCACTGCTTTTACCTGAACCTACTGATGCAAAGTTGTATTTCTGCTTATAAAATTCAAGCGACTTTTTTCCCTTAGTATTTTACTTCTATTAAATTTACCTTCCTGCATGTGTCCAATTTTACTATTAGATTAACCTGGCCACAGGGTAGGGAGCAATTTTTAGACCAAATATTTTTTCCTGTTGGGATTGAGTGAATGAGTTTCTTCCCTTTTTAATTGCACATAAAGACTTTCTTTGTATGAAAGGAGCACTGAAGTGACACTTTAGCTAAGAGTTTTTGTTCCTAGCGTTTTGTTAGCCTGTGAATCATTACACTGTTGAACAGGCTAAATGACAGAATACAATTACTATCTTTTCTTCCCTTTATACATTCTTTCCTTGAAACAGCTTGCTTACCAAAAAAAAAAATCACCCTGAAGTATAACATATTTACATAAAATTACACAAATCATAATTGCATAGCACAAATGAACATGTCTATCTAACTAGCAACCAGATAAAAATAAAGGAGTTTTACCAGAACCTCCTGTATCCCTCCAAAACTCTACCCCAAACTAACCTGGGCAACCACTGTCCTGACTTTTAACATCACTGCTGAGAGTTTTGTTTTGAGCTTTCTGTGAAGGAATCATAGATCATGTTTTCCTTTGCCTGGCTTCTTTCACTCAACATTATGTTTGTAAGACTAATCCATTTTTTTTTAAGCAACAGATAAAATATTTCCAAGGGACAAGTGATAAAACTATTTCGCTTTCTTACTGCTGACACTAGAAATAACTAGCCTGTCTTGAAGTTACTCACTGCCTTATAAATTAATGAATTACAGCATTTTTAGGAATGAATTACTACTAAATGGAAGTTTAACCACATTAAAATATGTCTACAGGTGACCTGGTATGGTGCAGTACAATAAACACTGGACTGCAAAGCTCAAGATCGGTGGTTCAAACCCACAAGCCACTCCTCAGAAACCCTATACAGGGTAGCAGGAGTCAGAACTGACTCAAAGGCACTTAACAACAACAGCAGGACCTTGAACAACACTGGCCAACCAGGGAAGGTTCACTTATCTGAGGATTTTCTTGCCCCGGTGGCAACTGTGGTAAGCTCAAGAGTTACAAGTATCCCCTCAAACACTGTGTGATGCTAAGCATCCTCTGAGCAAGCAGTTTATCTCTCCAGTAACTCTTTCCTCTCAGTAATTCAAGGGGTCAAATGTAAAATATACGCAGATTTTACACTGTGTGGACAGAAGTCAGTGCCCCTAAACTGTGTGGATCCAAAGTCAACAGTATCTTGTACCTTTTTTTGCTTTGAAATTCATAAGTAAATTTTCCTCTAAAACCAAATCTAGCTATCCTTATAATATGGTTACCTTACTTATATTCATTAAAAGTCTATCACTTAACCTTGGAACAACAAGGCTCTGGGATACAGGGATCTAGGTATAGCTTGAAGAGGGTAAATAATACTAAAATCCTTGACTGCCTTATGAATATTAGTTTC